ACTCACAGAGATAGACCTGCCTCTGCATTCAGAGTGCTGGGATAGAGGCATGTGCTACCACACCCAGCTTCATAACTTAAAGTGGTAGTATCCTTCACTACAAGAATTTTCCAAGTGATAAGAAAACATGACTCAACAGGTAAAGTGCCTGCCTGACAACTTGAGACCTGATTGACTTGAGGTCAATCCCTGGACTCCTCATGGTGGAAGAAGAAAACCAACTCCATAAAGTTGTCTTCTGACCCCCACACACGCACACACCACTCATACAAAATTTTTTAAGAAATGAAAACGTTTCAGTGTGCACCTGATATCCCAGACTCCCTTGAAGCCTGTCTGCACAGGTGTGTTTTTGCCATCCTTTGCTGCTGGTGGTGGCTGAACCACCCATTTTCAAGGCCGCCCCTTGGTGTGGGCAGAAAACACAGAAGCCTGGGAATAAGACTTCCTTCCTAAAACAGACCACCTACTCTAGCTGACCCCAGGCAACCGGCTCAAGCATGCTTTACTCCACCCCAAAATTACATATCCGAGTGAAAATACTTCTTTGCCAAGATTGATAAATGCTTTCGGATTGTTGTTACCAGAATGGTTGTGTCTATAGAAGCACGCTCTCTCTGCATGAGCCACCACTACAACCAACCAGCCCCACTCCGAATGTGTTCTCCACACTCATCTTCTTAAGAGCGTCGGTCTCAAAACATAACGCCAGCCACGCCTCTGCCTGCTACATGTCTATTTGTATACACATGGTGGTGTGGGAAGAATAGACCAGCTGTTTCCACTCACAAGTCCACTCACTGGCTGGGTAACTATGCACGTCTCTAGACATGTCTCTACCTCTTCCTTCACCTGTGAAATCAAGATGATAACTGGAGTTAGTAGTTAATCCAGGAATGTTTCTAAATTCCTTGCTATATATCAAGTATTTTGCTCACTTAAAAAACAAAAAATGATGCATGCTTAAAAAAAAAAAAAAGCTCTGACCTGAATGTCTGACCCACAGTAACTTTCTAATTGTCTCTACCTAATGGGGTCTGAAGAGATGACTCAGCAGTTAAGAGCACTGGCTATTCTTGCAGAGGACCCGAGTTTGATTCCCAGCACCCACATGGCAGCTAACAACTGTCCACAACTCTAGTTCCAGGGGAATCTGACGCCTTCTGACCATTGTGGGCATTGCACAACACAGGTGCACTTACATGCAGGCACTACATTCATACATAAACTAAAAATGATAAAATTTTTTAAAAAAGAATGTGGGCTGGAGAGATGGCTCAGCAGTTAAGAGCACTGGCTATTCTTGCAGAAGACCCAGGTTTGAATCCCAGCATCCACATGGCAGCTAACAACTGTAACTTCAGTTCCAGGGGATCTGACACCCTCTTCTGATCTCTGAGGGCATTGCATGACACAGGGGCAGGCAATTCACTCAAACATAAAAATAATAAAAAGCAAAAAAAGAAAGCTTATTTCCACCTTGCATAAGTAATGATCATTTGTCAGCCTGATAAAACCCATCTGTAGCAGCTTTTCCCTCCAAACCATGAACTATTTAAAAGGTTTGGCCCCATTGTTCCCCCTGCACTTTGTCCTCTGATCTCCAAGCAACCTCAGATCTTGTTCATGTGGGTGCATCCTGTCTCACTGCCTGATGCTGGATCCTGTGTGTACGGACACATCAGTTCCTGCACACACAAATCCCTTGCCAGATGCCAGTAGCTCTGTATGATGGTGGTGGCCCATGCCCATGCGCTTCCAAAGCCTTGACCCACTCTCCTAGCTGCTGGTCTAGTCTCCTCAGCCCACCCAGCCCCCAAGCTGCTCTGTCCCTTACCTCTTGCTCTCCCTTGCAGAGAGATTTCAGGGGCTCCCCACTGCTGATCAGGGGGAGCTAGAACCTTTACCATGAGCTTCTGGCTGCCTGTTGCTCTGTCTCCCACTGATGCAACTGCAGCTCTCTCCAAGCTGGTGATCTGGACACCTGCCCCCTGGCGGAGCACACAGTGAGGACACACCCTTAATTTCAGTGCAGTGTCAAGCATACAGAAAAACTGCATGGTTGTGCATGCTTGAAATCTCCACACTTGGGAGTCAGGGACAGGAATGCAGCAAGTTTGAGGCCATCCTGGTCTATATAGGAAGTTCTAAGCCTGACAGAGCTACATAGCGAGACTCCAAAAAGCAAACACCTCAAAACAAATGCAAAATAGTATAAATTCCTATGACCTTGACCTACATATCTGCACATGTGTGCCTATACATACCATATGTATGTTTTATCTTCTGAGCAGTATGAAGGTGAGTTTCAGACAGGCATGCTCTTTTGCTACTAACTACACCAGCATTTGTCTCCTAAGCAAACACATTCTTTCAGATAACTAAATTACAATGATCAAAATTAGGAAATGCGACTGGGGAGGTGGTAAAGCACTTGCTGTATGAGGGTCTCAGTTCAGATCTGCAGAACCTATGTAAACCCAGATGCAGGGGCTGGGGGAAGGTCTCAGCGGTTAAGAGCACATTCTGCTCTTCCAGCGGACCTAAGCTCAGTTCCCAGCACCCATATCAGATGATACAACCACTTGTAACTCCAGCTCCAGGAAATCCAATGACTTATTCTGGCTTCTGTGGACATCTGCACACATGTGGCATATACACACAGGGACACACACACACACACACAAATTAAAAAATAAACCTGTTGTTGGAAGCTGCATTCCTGTCATGTTGTAGTCATGCCTCTGAAATTCCAGTGTTCAACAGCAAGATGAGAGGTAGAGACAGGACAATCCTGGAAGCTCAGGGGCCAGCTAGTTTGGCATGCACACTAGTGAACTAAGAGACCTGTCTCAAACAAGGTGGAAGGCCAGAACTAACACCAGAGGTTGTCTCATTTCCACATATGCCATGATTCACATGTGCCCACATTCACATGCATGCACACAGATTTTTTTAATGATAAAAATAAGAATGACATGTATCCAGTGTTTTCTGATCTGCAGGCTAGAGTCAAATGTCACTAGCTATCTCAGCGATGCTCTTTTTTTTTTTTTTTTTTTGTCTTTTTGAGACAGTGTCTCCCTATAGCCCCAGCTGGCCTGGAACTCACTATGTAGACCAGGCTAGCCTCAAACTCACAGAGAGCTGTCTGCCTCTGCCTCTCAAGTGCTAGGATTAAAGGCATGTGCCACCACACCTGGCAGCAATGCTCTTTTATAATTTTATGTGTATGAGTGTTTTGCTTACATGTATGTAAGTGTGCCACATATGTGCAATGGCTGCAGAGGCCAGAAACAGATGTCAGATCCCCTAGAACTAGAGTTACAGTTGCTAATCACCATGTGGGTACTGGGAACTGAACCCAGGTCCTCTGCAAGAGCAGCCAGTGCTCTTAACCACTGAGCCATCTCTCTAGCCCCTCAGCAATGCTCTTTACAGCTGCCTTTTTCCTCATTCAGAATATGTACTTATCATGCCACCTATTCTTCCTAAGTCTAGAATAGTCTTGCAGGATGCTGGAGTGCTGAGGATTTGAACCCAGGGCCTTGCTCACGCTAAACAAACACTATACCGCTGAGCTACATCCTCACCCCAACACTGGCATTTTTTTTTTTTTTTTTCTTTTTGAGATAGGGTTTGCCTGTTGCCCCAGCTTTCCTGGGACTCAATGTGTAGACCAGGCTGGCCTTGAACTCACAGAGATCCGCCTGCCTCTGCCTCCTGAGGGATTAAAGGCATGTGCCACCATGCCCAGCAACACTGGCATTTAAAAAAATATTTTATTATTTTTATTTTATGTGTATGAGCATATTGCCCACATGTATGTAAGTGCACCCATGTCATGCAGTGCCGTGGAGGTCAGAAGAGGGCTTCAGATTCCCATGGAAGTGGAGTTAAGGACGGTTCATAGCCGCCATGTGGGTGCTGGGAATTGAGCCCGGATCCTCTGCAAGAGCAGTCAGTGCTCTTAACCACTGAGCCATCTCTCCAGCCCCCAACACTGGCATTATTTTTTTTTTTAAAGAGTAGAAGCTAATTATTTTGCTGAATGTACCCAGGTTAGAGTTTGTGTGACATTTTCTTGGGATTAGGTTCAGAGTCCAAAATCTACAGAACTTAAAGGAAAAAAGGTTCCTTTTGACTTGTTTCAGAAGTTTTAGTCCATTGCTTTGTGCCTGTGGTGGGTCGGAACATCATGGTGGTAGGAGTATGTGGCAGAGGAGGCTGCTCACTTCATGGCAGCCAGGAGAAGGCAATGGACCGGGGGTGAGATGCACCCTCCCATTGGGCTCTTCAGGGCCACATGCCCTGCAGAGTGCAGAATGTTGGTCATTGATGGATGCCTTGGGAAGGTGAGGTCTTGTTTTCCTTCTCAGCCACAGTTCTCCGGTCACCTGTTTTCCTTTTTCCATTTTATGTGTGCTTGTACATGTGTTTGCATATATTGTGTTCATATGCATATTTGCATGTGTGGGGCCACACTTGTGTTGGTGCATGTGCACGTGTGTGCATTCAAGTGGAGGCCTGAGGTCGATGTTGGGAATCATCCTTGATCTCTCTTCCGCCTTATTCACTGGGGCAGGATCTCTCAATCAAACCCAGAGTTCACCAATATGGCTAATCTTGGTAGCTAGCTTGCTCTGGGGATCCCCTGCCTCTGCCTTCTGAGACTGGAATTATACGGGGAAGGGCACCATGCCCACCCAACATTACCTGGGTTGTGGGGATAGGAACTCTGGTCTTCACCCTGCATGCAAGCCTAATTTAACCACTGAGCCATCTCCCCAGCCCCTCCTGTCACCTTGTGAGGAAACTTTCTACCTCATGATGAGGACAGGTATACACTGAATAAGCAGGGTGTGTGTGCTCACTGTGAAAACAATCCCCAGCTCAGCTCCAGCTCCTAGTCCAAGCCTGGCACACAGTAGGCACTCAAAACCTGTGTTGAGTGAATGAAAGAATGAGTTAGAATGTCTGAGGGCTGGTTCTGTTTACAGAGTGAAGCTCCAAGTCTCTCCAGATGAGTCCATCCGTGGTCTCTGTCCCATGAGGAAACTTCAGGGTTTCTTCTTATCCCTGGTCCCTGCTGAAGCATACAAGTCTGACCAAACCCCAGCGAAGAGGCAAGCTGTTTGGCCTTCCCTTTGGGAGTGACTCAGTCACATTCTGGGCCAATTTTAGTAACTTCGAACTCCTGGCTTAGAGACTCTAAGAGTACCAGGGTGGGGAGAATCTCTGGGCCTTTGATTGGTGAAATGTTGGACTCCACACAGCAGCATAAAGACACCTTTATAATAAGATAACCCTAGACCCCACTGCCCTGTCCTGCAGGCTTCACACACTGAGGCAGTGGTTGGGGGCACATCTTGCGGCCTCTCAGGTCACCATCTCCCTTTGCTCTTTCAGGCGCAGGAGGAAGGAGACACATTGACCAGGGGGACCCTGCAGCTCATCCAGCCCATGGTCTCAGGTGCAGGATGGGCCCACCTCTGCTGCTTCAGGAAGTTCCCTCAATCGGTGGCCTCGGAGGCCCTGCTGTGTCTCTGCACCAGTTTGATGTTTGTGAAACTTAGGACAGCACCAGTCTCACTGGACCCTCACATGAGTCCTCTGGGAAGTCACTGCTGGGAATGGCTGTGTCACTAGGGCTTTGTGGCTGATGAATAGCAGCTGTTGTGTATTGTTTCTGGGTAGAGATTTCCCAGGAAGCCCAGCCTCTCTGCCAGCTAGTGGGGAGGAGGATAGGGGTCCCACCAGCAAGGAACAGAGGAAGGAAGGAATGACCAAGCTCTAAGGCCACTCGGGTTACCTGACTCTCATGTTCAGATAACATCTATGGCCCTGTGGCATCTGTGTCCCCATGACATAGATAGTAGCAGAGGTCAGAAGACAGAGGGCTCTGTGTGAAGCAAGCCAGCATACTCCCATGATTATAGGGTGTAGCACATGGCTCAGCAGCTTCCATTTTCATTTGAGGAAATGTTCAAAGATGAGTGTCCTCAGGACTGGGTCGATGGGGACCTCATAAAGGGTTCAGTGGTTCCCCCCAAGTTCTTGACCCTCAGGGGCAGGTGAGCCTGGCGCCATGCTGAGTCTTGCTGAGCCTCCTGGGCTGGTGGGTCCCCCCAGCCTGGTTTTCAGAGGCTGCTTTTTGTGTGTTTATGTGCCATGGGCTTGAATTGTGCTGATGTGCATCGAGGTTGAACTGCAATTGAATCAAATTGGACAGAAATAAATAAATTGAAGTGAAAGGCCTATGGCTATGTGTGAATCTTGCTGGGTGCCAGACTCTGGGGAGTCAGAGATAGGGACCATGCCTATCTTTACACTGGCCAGGTGTAGCCAATGACGATATTGTGGGATTTGTCAAAAGAGCACAGTTGGGGCTGTGGGGCAGGAATAGAAGGGAGGCGTAGAAAAACTGGACCTTTGAGGATGGGTGGGAGTGTGAGAGGAGGGAAGGTGAGGAGGAAGCAGCCTCCCATCTGACCAATGACACCAGTTTACCTGTGTTCCTACGTAGTCACATACAGAGAAAATCCATCATCTACCCAGCCTGTGAGCCACATGTACCCAAATCCCCTGGAAGCCCACCACTAAATCAGAATCTCAGGGAGCTGGCGCAGGAGCCTGCACTTTAAAAGAACTCCTGATTGGGCTGGAGAGAAGCTTAGTGGAGCACTGGCCCGGGTTTAGTTTCCAGCACCTGTAAGTCCAGTTCCAGGGGATCAGACACCCTCTCCTGGCCTCCAAGGGCACAGCGTATGTGTGGTGCACTTACATACATGCAGGCAATATACTTATACACATAAAATAAAAATAAATAAAAAGAACTCCTGGAAGGTGGAGGTACTGCTTCGTCTCAGCAACGCTGCCAGTATCCCTGTGAGCAGCTGTCACATCTGCACATCAGAATCACCTGAAGACTTGTCAAGACAGACTGCAGATCCACCCTGGGATTGGTCCTGCAGGTTCGGTGGGGTGTGGACTAAGACTTCTTGAGAAATTCTTGAGTAGGGCTGAGGCTGCTGTTGAGGGAATTCTAAGGGTCACAGTTCTGACAGAGACTTGAAGCCATCCAGACTCAAGGAGCACCTCCTCCATTCTTCTGAGGCCCTGAGGAACCCAAACAGTTGTACTACTTAGCACTAAGATTTGGCCCACATGCTGGAATTGTAGGTATCCCCATCATACCTGGCTAATGTGGAATTTGTTTTAGTTTGGTCTTTGAAACAAGGCCTCATTCTGTAGCCCATGCTGGCCTGGAACTCCCTAGGTAGCCAAGACTGGCCTCCAATTCATGACAGTTCTCCTGTCTCAGCCTTCTGACTATTGGGATTGAAAGTGTGCCCCACCATACCCCTTTCTTAGCCACACACCCATTCTAGACTCTAAGCTCTCCAGCCCAAAGCACGATATTCGACCATTGAACAGATGGTGGAAGGTGAGAGAGACAGCCTGGGCTCAGCTGCCCAGAGGTCCAGCTGGGCATTCTGGCCCTTGCTTGGGCACTGCTACCCTTGACATGGCCACTCTGACCTCACTAGCCTCTCACTTCTCACTACTAAGGAGCTTGCACTGTGCTCCAGACCAAAGGTACAGCCAAGCCAGTTTCCAGATCCCATCAGTGCAGGTCTAGCTCCTGGACTATTTGTGGGACTGACTGCCCTGCATAACTACATTGTTACTTTGAACAAGGATGTTTGATGGAACTGAAGGAATTAATGAGGGTTACCTTCTAAGTGAAGAACACTCTAAACAGAGATCTGCCTGCCTCTGCCTCCCAAGTGCTGGGATTAAAAGTGTGTGCCGCCACACCTAGCCTGACTCTGATTTTTAATAACTGGGAGGAAAAGACAATATAACTAACTTAGTTTATAACGTACCTGCAGTCACTCAGTGCATTCTCTCTTGGGACTGTCAAGATGACTGTTTTCACAGTAACAACCCCTAACATTTTCTGAGCACCCTCAGCTCTGCACAGATTGAAGAGACTCCAGTAAGTCTGTAATATGATTGTCAGAACACACACATAATCATGCCAGTGCTGTGTATCAGTCAGCCTGGGCAAAGCATGTGGCCTAGGGGTTCAGCCAGCCCTTACAGTCTTCCAGTTCTGGAGCGTGGAGCGTGGAACCTGTAGTTTCTCCTGTGGCCTTTCTCTTTGACTTGCTTCTCCCTGTGTCTCTTTTGTCTTTGTCCTAACCTCATCTTCTTAGAAGAATGCCAGTCACATCAGATAGGACCCACCTGTGTGAGCTCATTTTAATATTTACTCCTTCAAAGACCTTCCTTTTGAATGCAGTTTCATTCAGGAGTACTGGGAGTATTAATGTAGGCAAGTGGGATGGTTAACCTTGATTGTGAACTTGATTGGCTTGAGAAATGCCCTTGAGATTAGTAGGTCACACTTCTGGATTTGTCTGTTAGGACATTGCAGTGATACTTCCCATGTGGGAAAGGCCCACTGTTGTGTGGAGCCTTGAGCAAACGTCTGTTTACTCCCCAATGGTGCCCCAATTCACAGACCAAAGAAATGCTTCCATCCAAGTCTGTTTTAGAAAATCAACGAGTTTACCGGTTTCTTTTTTTTTTAAAAGATGGGTGACTCAAAGGTAACTGCATCACCAAAAAGCCAGCTTGGTTGATGACTTAACAAAGCTGCATTCCAGGTATTCTCTCTCTAATTTGTAGGTAGTTCCACCAGAGAGTGCCCCCCCCGCTCCCCAGCAGCTGTTTACTGCTTTTGTAATCTTGGGAAGGGCTTTGTGAATCTTGTAACTCTCAGTTTCCTGAATCTTGCAGGTTTTTATTAGCTTCTTGAGTTTTTTTTTTATTTAAGATTTATTTATTTAATGGGTATAAATATTTTGCCTGCATGCATGTGCCTGATGCCCATGGAAGTCAGAAGAGGGTGTCAGATCCCCTGGAACTGGAGTTTCAGACAGTTGCATGCTGCCTTGTGGGTGCTGGGAATCAAACTCAGATCCCCTGCAAAAGCAGCAAATATGCTTTTTTTCCCCCCTTGGTCTTTTTGAGACAGGGTCTTCCTGTAGCCCCATTATGTAGACCAGGCTGACCTTGAACTCACAGAGATCCGCCTGCCTCTGCCTCCCCAGTACTGGGATTAGAGGCATGTGCCACCACACCTGGCAGGCAGCAAGTATTCAGAACCTCTGAGCCATCTCTTCAGTCCTTGACACCTGGAGTCTCATAAACCTCCCTTTCTCCACCCTCTAGGAGTGAATGTTTGAAGTCAGTGGAGTAGCTCTGCAACACCCACCCTGAATGTGAGCAGGGCCATCCATAGGCTGGTGGCCTGGGAGAAATAAGAGTGGAAAGGAAAATTCCAGACGTGCACTGCATACCTCAAAACCCTGTTCTTCCTGAGCAGGCGTGTTAACTGTTGCTGCCACAACCTGTGGACAGTGGACCTTGTTCTGAGGCATCCAGCTACGGGGATCTGTCTGCAAATAGTCTTTATGGGACTATCTGGTCTCTGATTGCATAAGCCAATCTAATAAATCCCTTTATAATTGTATATAGCTACATTATACACACATATATATTCTATTGATTCTGTCTGCTTAGAGGCCAGTTTTTTGTTGTTTTTGTTGTTTAGATTTATTTTATTTTTATGTGTATGAGTGTTTTTGCCTGTATGTATGTGTGCACCATGTATGGCCTGGTCCCCCTGTAGTCCAGAAGAGGGTGTCAGATCCCTTGGGACTGGAGTTGGAGATGACTGTGAGCCATGCCTTGTGAGTGCTGAGATCTGAATCCAGGTCCTCTGCACGAGCTGCCAATGCTTTTAACTGCTGAGCCGTCTCTCCAGACCCAGGAGTCCAGCTTACCAAACTGCGGGTCATGATCCCATATGGAGTTGCATAGCTGAATGTGGAAGCCACAAAATTCAGCAATAGTGAAGGTTTCTGAATGTGTAATGGCCAAAGATTAATTCAAAACCAAATATGTAACAAATCCAAGGTATCCCTGGCACCACCTACCTGTTGTACACTGTACACACTGCAACCTTGGATTTGAACACACATGTGCACTTTGCATCACACCATGTAACACTAACTAAAGCTGCCTGAAGCCCCTCAGCTGATTCCAGACTGCTGTACAAGATGAACTGCAGTGTTTTTACTGTAAAGAGTGTTTTCTGCTCTTACAGACACAGAAGGGTTTAATTACTGAGAGTAAAGGCTTTGAATATTTTCCTACCATTATTCCTCAGAATGTATGAAATTAGACTGTCTTCGGATTGTATTATCTTATAACAAGTGATTTTAAAAATTGCTGTTTCGGGGCTGGAGAGATCAGAGGACCTGGGTTCGATTCTCAGCACCCACATGGTATCTACGAACCCTCCTTAACTCTAGTTCCAGGAGAATCCGAAGCCCTCTTCTGATCTCTGTGGCATTGCATGACATGGGCGCACTCACATACATGTAGACAATACACTCACACACATAAAATAAAATAAAAATATTAAATATATTTTTTTTAATTGCTGTTTAGCCGGGCGTGGTGGTACAGGCCTTTAATTCCAGCACTCGGGAGGCAGAAGCAGGCGGATCTCTTTGAGTTCAAGTCTGGCCTGGTCTAGTGAGTTCCAGGACAGCTGGGGCTACAGGGAGACCCTGTCTCAAAAAAAAAAATAGACCAAAAAAAAAAAATTTCTGTTTAAAGTCGGGCATGTTGGCGCACACCTTTAATCCCAGCAGTTGGGAGGCAGAGGCCAATGAATCTCTGTGAATTCAAGGGCAGCCTGGTCTACATAGTGAGTTCCAGGCCAGCTGGTGCTACTGGGAGACCCTGTCTCAAAAAGACCCCCCCCCCAAAAAAAAAGCTGTTTAAATTGCTGATGTGAATTTCATTAAAAAAAGAAAAAACAAAAACAAAAATCATTGAACACCAGGTGTGGTGGTGCATGCCTTTAAACCCAGCCCTTGAGAGGCAGAGGCAGGCAGACGTCTATAAGATGGAGGTCAACTTGGTCCACATAGTGACTGGGACTAGGGAGACCCTCTCAAAAAAAAAAAAACAACCAAACCAAACAAAAACAAAAAAAAACCTATTGACTGTGGGGCTGAAGAGATGGTTCATCAGTTATCACTTAAGAGTACTTGCTGATCTTGCAGAGGACCTGTGTTTGATTCCCGACACCCACATAGCAGCTCACATCTGTCTGTAACTCCAGTTCTTCTGACCTCCATGAATGCCAGCAAAACACTCACATAAAATT